TGTGCAAAAACTGTTAGAAAAGTCCCTAAAATAATAGAAAAAGCTTCATGTTTTACTTCTAATTAATATATTGTTTTTCGTAATTTGTCAAAGACTAAGTTATAGTTTTTTTTCTTCAGTGGTGTTAGATGTGTCTATGAAAAATCTTAATGACAAGAGTTTATCTTCTCTATTTATAATTATAATTGTCCTGTTACAGTGGGATAAATTTGGTTTAATAAAATCAAATCACACTAGTCAGCAAGATGCTACTTTATAAGTTTTTCTTTAGAATGAACATTTTTATTGTTATAACTTTAAAAATCTTCTTTATTATTCAATTCTGTAGGCTTCATTTTTGAAGATAGATTCTTAAATATATTTAAAACTTTATGGTGATGACCCTCAGAATTTTAAACCACAAGGCTTTTGGAATATTCTGCACAGAAATTTTCTACTGAGATTCTGCTGCTGCTGCTCTACTGAGGCAGTATGGTATAGTGTTTAAGAGCATGGACTCTTGAGAGCATCATCTGTCTGGAGCTAGGCTACTGGGTCCAAGTCCCGGCTCTGACATTTACTAGCATTCTAATCCTGGATCAATTACTTAAACCTCTATTCCTTGGTTACTTATCTATAATAATAATAATACCTGTTTTATGACTGTTGTACGAAATTAAGTCATTTAATACATGGTAAAGACCCTGGAACAGTCTTTAACAATTTTTAAGCACTCGATAAATACTAGTTGCTAATTTTATTCTGTCTTTAGAGTTATCCTCCTGACCTAGATTTATTTTACTAACAGTATTTATTTATTCATTTATTTTACTGATAACATTTATTTTCTTGAAATTTCGAGCTTTTAGAAATATAGGTAAACACTTTGTATACACTTTATAGAAAGCGATAAGGTTAATCAAGTCTGCCTTTTCTCATTTCCATATATGTTGGATTTTAGAGGGTCATTTGGGAAAAAAAAGACCTATTTTCCCTACCTACGTTCTGAACCAGTATGACAGAGTGAGAAGAATTAACAGATGAAGATATAAATACCTACTTTATTATTGGTAAAGCTGGATTAGAAAGCCCACTTGAATTTACAGCCATAATCAGGATTCCTAATACTTTTTCTTAAGTTTAGATCTTGTGACAGCCTGTCTGGGGGAGTCCTTGGGTCGTATATATAGAGTAGAACCATTTGCCCAGAATTGCTTCTGTAGGTATTACCAGGCCCCAGTAGAGCAGAGGGAGAAATGGGCTTCCAGGTTTGCCTCTAGAAAGCATGCCTGATCTGTGTACAAGCATTACTTAATACTTACTGTACACAGGCATTATGCTAGTCACAGTAAGAATAAAAAACTAAACAAGCAGCACTTGTTCTTAAGGAGCTTACAGTCTATTAAGATAACAGAGTTTTTGTTTTTATTTTTATATGAGACTATAAATAGACTTTGGTAATGACATAAGCAATACAAGGTGCTTTGAGTAATTTAAAAGTGGAAGGGATTATAGCTGGGTTGGGACCAGAACAGGCTATAAGGAAGACGGGCTCAGAACAGGGAGCTAGCTGCGCTGAATTCATCTTTGCTTATCAGCTAAATGAATAAATGATTTAAATAAACATTCACTGAACATCTGCTATGAGCCATGCATTGTAAAAAGCCTTGGATATACGAAGCTGAATAAGACATACACCCTGTCCTTGATAATCTTAGAGTCCACTTGAGAAAAGGAGGAAGGAAAGATAGACAGCATTTGGGCACAAACAGACGAGGAGCAACATGAGGGAAATTTTAGTCACAAGAAATGGTGTTAGTAAAGACACAAAGGATCATCAACAAGTAGTGAAGCTGGCTGGAGCCTGGGACAGGTATATGACAGTGGAAGATAAAATTGAAATACTGAGTTGATTTCATACTGGAAGGTCTTGAATGTTAGACTGAAGAATATGAATGTGAAATGATGGGAGGTTTTTGAACGAAGTCCTATGGTCCATAGGCTGTGGCTTAGAAGGTCTGATCTAGCAGTGTTTCATAGGATCTATACACACTGACATAAAAGTAATGGCCAAGTTGTATTTCACAAAAAGAACAAACTGCAGAACAGTATGCATAATGTGGTCCCATTTGTGTAAAATATTATGCATAGAAAATGACTTCACAGTGTTTGCTCTGGGGAGGAAAACTAGGGGTCAGAACAGGGGGAAAGAGAGTCACTTAATTTTCACTTTAGCCATCTGTAAGGCTTTATTTTAACAGAAAACAATGTAAAAAGAAGCTTGGCTATGAAAGGAAGACGGGAAGCTGTAGTGATGTTGGGCTGCATAACTGTGGAATTTAATTCTGATATATACATACACATCAAACACAAAGGCCGGGCCCATTGCCGTCGAGTCGATTCTGACTTGTGGCAACCCTGTGAGACAGAGTGGAGCTGCTCAGTGGGGTTTCCGGGGGGCGCCTGGTGGATGTGGGCTGCTGACCTTTTGGTTGGCGGCCGTGGCACTTGGCCACTGCACCACCAGGGTTTCCATACATACACACATAAATATATCCTCTCTTCTTTTCACCAAACTTTGTAAAAGAGTATATATCCACTTAATCTCTTTTTCTGGTCTGTCATGAGCACAAGGCTTTTCAGTCAAGCAGAGCTGGTCAAACCATAATTCTGCCACTTACAACCACATACTAATTACTATTGACCTTGATGACTTGACCAAGTATACCAAGTATACCTGAACACACATAACACTTGCCTGTTATACCAACACTGTAAAAAAAAAAAAAAAAAACAGATAAGCTAAAAGAAAAAAAAAAAAACCAACAACTTGCTATCCAGACAAACTACTGATAAGATTTTTATATATCCAGACTGACTAATTTATTTCTCTCCTGTTCTCTCTTCCCATGTTTTAGGGGGGAAAAAGATAAATATATATTTACAAAGTGTTTTGTAATCTGCTTTTATCATATAATACTCTTGTGAACATTTTCCATTTTATTAAATATTCTTCCAAGATGTAATTTTTAGTCACTCCATAGCAGTCTCTAATTTTATAGATGTTCTGTAAATTATTTCCCACCAATCTCATTTTGATGAATATTAGATTGTTTCCAATGCTCACTGTTATACACAATACTGCAATAGGTATCTTCGCATATAGATATTTGTCCATTAGATAAATTCCTAGGGGGAGAATTACCAAATCAAGAAGTATAAAATTAAACTCTTGGCACAAAATGTCAGCTTGCTTTCTGGAAAGCTTGTACTAATTTATACTTTACCAGCAGTGACCTTCTCGCGTCATTTAACAAACATCTACTTAGTGTTCTTCTACTTTTAAAATCTGTCTTTTCTTTCAATTTTAAGCTTCTTAAGGTTAGGGCTGGAAGCCCTGGTGGTGTGGTGGTTGGCAGCTACAGCTGCCGGCCGGGAGGTCGGCAGTTCGGGTCTGCCCGGGGGGTGCTCCTTGGAGGCCATATGGGGTGGTTCTGCTCTGTCCTTTGGCGTCACTATGGGTTGGAATTGACTTGATGGCAATGGGTTTTTTTGGTTTGTTTGTTTGTTTTTTTAAAGGTTAGGGCCATTTTACCCATTTTTGTATCCCTTATGGTATCTAATTCAGGGCCTGGTACTTTGTAACTACTTAGTTATTTTGGGGTATTTATGTTTTTTAAAAAATACATTTTATTTTTTAGAGCAGTTTTAGGCTTACTGAAAAATGATACAGGAAGTACAGAGCTGCCATATGTACCTTCTCCCTACTGCATACAGTTTGTCCTGTTATTAATCTCTTCCATTCATGTGGCACATTTGTTAAAATTGATGAACCAGTATCAATATATTATTATTAACTAAAGTACATAGCATGCACTAGGGTTCACTTTTTGTGTTGTACAGTTCTTCGGGTTTTGACAAATGCATAATGTCATGTATCAATTTTAATTCCGTCTTTCAACTCTGATATTCTTAAAAGATATTGAAGAAAAGTTTTCCTTTTAAGTATTGGCATTATATCTTGATTCCTTGTTTATAGTCTCCTTCTCCAATTACAGTTTACAATAGGCCTGGTGGGCAGTTGCATATTTTGGTATCTTCACCTGCACTGCTGGATAAAATAGTAACATGCTTACCTCTTGTCTCTGCCTTCTGTAGAGTTTGGTTTATAGTTCGGATATTTATCTTTTATCCAGCTACTTGCTAGCACTTTTACTGGCCTCTTACCAATTTTAAAATTTTTAATAGTTTTCAGTAGACTGTTATGTTATTGGCAAACAACGACAACTGTGTCTCCTTTCCAACTGTCTCTGTTTTATAGCTTAGGTATTAGCCAGGACTTTCAGAACAATATGTTTAATAGTAATGTGAATTGTACGCAACCATGTTTTCTTTCTGACTGTAATGGGAATAAACCAGTATGTTACCATTCAAAAAAAAAAAAAAGCAAGCATGCCTGAGCCCTAACCCATCTGTACTTACCACATTAGGGCAGGAACCTAGCAGAACCTGCACTCACTGCTAGTGAGGAGGTAATAAAAAGGGAGCACTAGCCTGGCTGAGAGCAGCCTGCTGGGTTCCATCTCTCAGCCTCATTCAGGTACTTCACATTCTCTGGGAGACGACTGAGTTTAGTAGGTGCAGAGAAGTGTTTCCACCTTACTTTTCCCCCAGCAGAATGGGGGAATTAATGTTACCCCTTAGCAATATACTGTTAATGATGTTACCTTGTCTTTTTTAAATGCCGACATGAAAAGCCTCTCTCTATATATCTTTTAAACTCATCTATAAAAGGTCTTATGGATGGCTCATAAAATGGGTCCCATGGCATGAGGAGACCTCTTTATCTAACCAACTTTTAAAATATTTTCCCTAAGTTCTCTATAAGAACATTTTTATGAGGTTATCAATAGGTTTCTTTCCCTCTGAGACTATGCAAGCCTGAAATTGTCTTATCAGATCATGAATTATTTTATACTGTTAATAAAAAAAAGATAAAAGGTCTTTTTTTCTTTTAACAGCTTGCAGTTGCAAACAACAGGATTATTACCTTGCAAGAAGAAATGGAACGAGTTAAAGAGGAGAGCTCCTACATACTGGAATCCAATCGGAAGGTTACTGTTACTGTATTTATAAAATATTCATAGAGAGTATATCAATGTGTTGGTAATGGGGGCAGGTTTAGAGAACTGTTTTGAAGCAGCAAACATTTGACTACATCAAGCACAGTGTTTTTACTTAAACCTCACGTATTTGAGTGAATGATGAAGGTTTTGGGAAGGTGATGCCCCTCTACAAAAATGCTCCTTGGCTTCACTGCTCCTTGTATCTATTTAGAGACTTTACGAAACAATCTAATCAGTCTCTTGTTTTTATGTACTAATGATTTCCACTGTATTTAAAGGTTATATTTGTTATATTAAATATGCCATCATTTTTAGGCCGTGTAAGGTTTTGTTTTGTAAAAAGTGACATCTTATTTGTCTGATATCACTTGAAGTTACCATATAAATGAATTTTTTAGATAACTCAGCACCTTAAGGAGCCCCGGTGGTTCAGTGGTCAGAGCTTGGCTGTTAACCAAAAGGTCAGCAGCTCAAATCCATCAGCTGCTCTTTGGAAACCCTGTGGGGCAGTTCTACTCTGACCCGTAGGGTCACTAAGAGTCGAAATCAACTGGATGGCAACTGGTTTGGTTTGGTTTGGTCAGCCCCTTAAAGCATCAAAGTTTTTATAAACATCTAACCAGAATTTTTAAAATCTTATATGTATTACACAATTCCAGACCTTCTTAATTAGAAGTCTAATTAAGTTTAGCACATTTAGCACTTTTTGATGACTGAAGATCATAGTTATCAGCATTGGCAACCCTGTACTAAATAACAATGGTGCTACTTAACTGGGCTACTGAAATTAATAGAGCTTCTAGCATCTACGTTTAGATATTCCCAGATTGCTGTGGGTGTTCTTATATTTCTTTTTCTGCCTTTTATGATTTCACTGACATCTCTTACTTCTTGCTAATGCTAGTGTTGTTATCTAGAAAGATATTCTCACTCCGTTTTATATTCATGCTTCTAATCTACTGTGGCCTAGGAATCCAAATATCCACAATTACTAAAATTGTTTCTAAAGTAAGAGTAACTAGGCTCTGAGCGGGGACTAAAGCAGTTTTCTGTGAGTAAAGTATTTGACTTTAATGCATGGACTTTGTGAAAACAACTGTGACTGCTCAGAAGAAGTTTCCGATTACCTTCTTATTTTCAGCTGTGATCCTCCTCTATTAGATGAGGTGTGAGATCTCTGAAGGAGGAATGTATTACTACCACTTGAACCTTTGGCCCAATTCATATTTTACAGTGAATGCTATTTTGTTTTTAGAGGCTGATTTTTAAAACTTCTGCCTCCTCCGACGGCACCTAACAACAACACCTCCTGGTTTGGTAACTTGTCTTAGGATTGTAAACAAAATGGCAAGAAATCCCTAATTCAGCTGAAGAATTTCTTTAAATTTACTAGGCTTCTTTAATTTCTTTTTCTTCTTTTATTATCACACTGCTTAGGTATGATCATGTTTTCTTACTAAATAGCTTACAAGTGTCAGCTAACTCTGTATAGACTTTTTAAATCCTTGTTGTTGTTGTTGTTAGGTGCTGTTGAGTTGGTTCCAAGTCATAGCAACCTTATGTAGAACAGACGAAACAGTGCCCAGTCCTGCACCATCCTCACAATTATTGTTACGCTTGAGCCCATTGTTGCAGCCCCTGTGTCAATCCATCTTGTTGAGGGTCTTCCTCTTTTTTGCTGACCATCTGCTTTACCAAGCATGATCTTCCTCTCCAGGGACTGGTCCCTCCTGATAACATGTCCAAAGTACGTGAGACGAAGTCTCACCGTCATCGCTTCTAAGCAGCATTCTGGCTGTACTTCTGAGACAGATTTGTTCATTCTTCTGGCAGTCTATGGTATATTCAGTATTCTTCACCAACACCATAATTCAAAGGCATCAATTCTTCTTCGGTCTTCCTTATCCATTGTCCAGCTTTCATGTGCACATGAGGCGACTGAAAATACCATGACTTGGGTCAGGCACACCTTAGTCCTTAAAAGTGACGTCTTTACTTTTTAACACTTTAAAGAGATCTTTTGCAGCAGATTTGCCCAATGCAAATCCTTACATATGTGCTATTTTGTTTATCTTTTCAAGGGTCCTAAGCAAGACAGAACTTCAGAAGGGCAAGCACTGAGTGAAGCAAGAAAGCATTTAAAGGAGGAGACACAATTACGACTGGTAATCTTTGCTCAAGTTCCGATAGTTCAGGAGCACATTAAAAGTTATCGGCCTGCTTAGAGGTTTTATCTTACAAACCAAGACCAGGAATATCAGTACTGCTGTAAAAAATTTTTATGGCCCCTATAAAACTGTTTCTCACTCTTTTTTGACTCATATTCCCCATACTGTTTTTCTCTATCCATTTTGTGAGTATTCTAAACAACCAGTAAGATTTTGCCCTTCTTTTTTTTTTTTGCTTTTATAGTTTGCATTACAAGAACATTAGGTATATGGAATCTACTTTTTTTTAAACTATGCAATCCCCACTCCTACCTCAATCCTCACCCTTGCAAAAATTCTGATATGTTTCCTTGGAGGGAGTGACTCCTTTTCCTCTTACTAAGAGTCATTGATGTAGAATTGTACTCTGTTATTTTTTGCTGTTTATTCTGAATTTATTCTTTTTCCTAGACATAAATGGAAAAATGTATCATCTGGTATTAGTTTTAAGGAACTTTATAAATTATATATGAATTTATAGTGAGGAGTAATACTCCTATAATCGATTTTATCCAAATATTAGTATCAGTATATTAATAATCCCCCAGTATTAGTATGGAGTCTTTGGACGGTGCAAATATTTCAGTGCTCAGCTACTAACCTAAAGGTTGGCAGTTCGAATACAGCCAAGGCAACTCAGAAGAAAGGTGATCTGCTTCCGAAAGGTCACAGCCATTGAAGACCCTATGGAGCACAGTATTACTATATTAACTCTTCCTGCAATTCAGATAGTATGACAAAAAGATACCCTACAATGTGTAAGAATAAGGAGAAGCCTGAAAATAAGGGGTGACTTAATTTGTACTAAAAAGTTATTACAAATTAACAGTACATGGAACAGAATTTCAGGTTTTTGAAAATACATTATGTTAATATCCCTGAAAATTTGCCTTCTATATATTTGTGAATTAGATCTCAGATACTTTCCATAAGGAGAGTTCTAGAAATAATATATGTCAACATTTTCAAAAGCAGTATGATTCATTTTCTGTTGCACTAACCACGTACAGAGGAGAGTCACAGTTAAGCAGCACATAATAAAAATCTTAAAATTTTCTACATCATTTTGTCAGAATAAATGTTAAGAAGGAAAGAAACCAAGCAAGTAGGCAAGGTCCATCCTAGGTGTGCCCTGGGCACCGCGTAGGTGGAAAAGAACCTCAGGTCTTTGTATCTTTGTCCAGTCACAGTTGATCATCCAAATAATGTTGCTGGGGCACAGCAGATACTTGTCAACAAAGAACATCTTCTCATGAAGCAGAAAAGCGAAGAAAACTTCCTTATTCAGAAATATTTACAGTACTAATGGCTGAAACAAGGCTTCACATTAAGTGAATCTAAAATTTCAGTTAGCCATATTGACCATTCCCAGTAAATTGAGATGTTAGCCTGGTAACCCAAAGGATCTTCAGGGTTCCTTGGGCTCTTGAATATGTTAAAACATCAAATTTAAGAGAACTGCAACTACTTCACTTTGGGCTGGCTACTTCAGCACTTTGTAGCTATTTCTATAATAGGACATGACATCAGTTGTGTTAATGAGATCTAATGAGATGCCTCAAGTATGTGCGTATTTTAGACATATTAAATAGCACTGTCTTTGGCCTAGCACGTTTGTTAGATTTGTTTTTCAGATGTGCAAATGTTGTTGTCATTATCTTAATTATGTTTGTTAATGTCTCTGAAAACTAATGGTAGCCTGTAGCCATTTTGCCAGAATATTCAGATAAGAGTTTTGATCTACCTTTTCCTATGAAATTTTATGGTTTATACTTAGTCAAGGGAAGACACTAAGCAGTTTACTTGCCTTTGGGGGCAGGATGTTGAAAAAGAGCTGGAGATACAGATTGGCATGAGACAGGAGATGGAATTGGCCATGAAGATGCTGGAGAAGGATGTCTGTGAGAAGCAGGATGCCCTGGTGTCTCTACGGCAGCAGCTGGATGATCTCAGGGCTCTCAAGCATGAACTTGCCTTTAAGCTGCAGGTAGGGGAAATAATGAGGAACAGACTCACTGGCTCTCTAAAATCCTCGCGGGGGAGCCTCCCTCCCCATTTTTCCTAAGAATCACACTAAATGCAAGAGGAATGAGTTGCATCTGACTTTGAGGCTAGCTGCCAATAAACCACTTTAGAAATCAGACCATCATAGGGTCCTGTATTACTGTTCTGGAAAGCTATAGTCACTGTTCAGATTGTAATGGGGGAAGAGGGTCTTTTTTTATCCTAGAGAATTTCTGCTTTCCCACCTAACATGCCAGCTGAGTCATATATTCCATTGACTTTTATACTGGAATAGGATAAATTGATGAGCCTTGTGATGTTGATTTTTGTGATAAGGCTACATACAAATAATAGTAAAAAATTGCATTTTGGTTTTTCTCCATTTGGGAATTAAGTGTTACACAAATGTATGAGCATTTCTAGTTCTTGCATACTGTTAAGCTCAGAAGGCAGCTGTGATTCGTTTCAGGATTTTATATAAATCACTCATAAGTCTTTTCTGTAACAGAGTTCAGACTTAGGAGTAAAACAGAAAAGTGAACTAAATAGTCGCTTGGAAGAGAAAACTAATCAGATGGCTGCGACCATTAAACAACTGGAACAAAGGTAAAAGTGCTGTTTCTTTAATGAAATACTTTGGGCTTTCAGGGCTGGAAGTGAAAAGAAGATAATATACATTTGGTAAATAGAAAATATATAAAATTCTTTCAGCTTTCAGACATGCTGGTAAAAAGAAATTCAGTTAAATTTTATTTGGGTTTTCTAAGCTGTCACTGAAAACATTTTTAAGAAACGTCAGCCTTTCATGACTGTTTTGTACAGCAGAACTTTAACTCTTTCCCTTAGCTGTATTTCAGTATCTTGTGTTAGAGGAAGGATACTTACGACCAGGATGAATTTTGAAAGGACCTTTAATATGTGTTTATAATTCTGTAATTGTATTGTCCATCACTAAAGTTTCTGAAGGCTTTGGTAGTGTAGGGATATTGAAATATAGGTGGCCTCTTAAGATCTATTCTGGATCTTTTCCTCCCTTCTTTAGCCTTAACCTTTTCTTTCCTTTCCCCCATCTCCCTTGTCTGTCTTCTGTCTCCTGAACAGTTCTGTAGCTTGCACTGTCACCTACCACCCCCAACTCTTAGATCTGTCTTTGCCCTGCTCAGACTCCATCTAGAGACCAGTCTACAGTTCATTGTGCCCAAAGCAAATCCTCTCCCTATGCCACTCTGTTGTTTTTCTTGTTTCTCTGTTTTTCTAAAACCACCATTTTCTTCCTGGTAACTGAGGCGCCAAGAGAAATGACTGAGACTTCAAGATTGAATGAAGTATGGCATCCAGCGTTGTTCAGTGTTTCCAGCCTACACGGCCACCTTTAACACCCACCAATCACCCTTTTTGCATTTGCGCAAAACTAAACTACCACTGGTCCCTGGACATTTCTCCCATTTATTCCTTTCCTAATAGTTCCACCAATTAGAAATCCCCTTCCTTTTCCCACTCCCTAACTCTTCAAGTACATTTTTACATTCAGGCTCAAATGCCACCTCCTCAAAGCTTCCACTGACTCCTCTTCCCAACGAAAAATACTCTTTCCTTGTTGGAGCTCCTGGAGCCTTATATCCATACCAATTATGGCACTTCTCACTTTCTGCCTCATGTTACAGTCCTTTACATATGTGTCATCTTTCTGATGAGAGTATAGCTCCTGGAAGTTAGTTAACTAATGTTTAAGTTCCCTCATGGGATCTGTCACAGTGCCATGAACACACAAGGCATTTAGTGGATATACCAATGAATGAATGAACGAATGAATAATTTATTTCATTTAGATGATTCTTAACACAGAACTGTGTATTAATGTTAACTCAAAAGTTTATTGCAGATTAATAAATAAGCTTAAAACCTCTGGTTTGGCTGATGAATAAAACGATATCACTCTACCTAGAAAAGAAAGTTATCTAAGGAAATATGTACTTGTTCATAGAAGTTATGTTTACAGTTTAGCAAATCAATTTTAGTGTTCATAAATTGTGCTTTTGATGTGTTGTATTAAGTTATTTTTCAGTGATTTTTTGACTTGGCATTTAAAGCAGACAAAACTAATTACTTATTTCTTTGAGTATTAAATCGCTGACTTGGTCTCTTGCTATTTTTGTCTTTCCTTTTTATCCATTTTCTCATCCCCTTTTCACTCCATTTTCATTTTCATTTTATTAATTTAGTGAAAAGGATTTGGTGAAACAGGCAAAAACCTTAAATAGCGCAGCAAATAAACTGGTCCCAAAGCATCATTAGACATTTTGCATCTGGTCACCTCGGAAGTCTGATATCACAACTTAATTGTAAAAGGAAGAAATCTGAAAGTTATTATGTTTAAGCTCTGGTTCTATATAAAATGTCACCAAAAGTTGACTTGGAATTTGCTGGACTTTAAAAAAACAGTTGGATATATAGGTTGGGGTTGGTTTGTTTGTTTCTATTTTATTTTCTCCCCAAAATTAAAAAATTTGGTATAAGTTCCCTGACTAAATGTCAAATAAACTTGGTGAAATTACTTCTGAGTTGACCAGTAAATAAATCATTAAAAAGAAGAAAAAGCCTAGGGAATTGAAGCTGTGTACATATTTACTGAAGCCTTTGCAACCCAGTCCTTCACAATATCAGATTATAGGTGCACTGTTCATGTCTATATCAGCGAACCTGTTTGGCTATTGCAATATAATGAACTAGAGGTGAATACCATGTGGACTTCGACCCTTCTAAAGTAGTTCTCTGTGTCTTAGGCCATGACCCCTTTTCATTTTTGTTACATAGGTTTAATCTCCAAGCCAAGGATAACTGCTTAGTATTTCACTACAGTTTTATTCTCAGTAACCAAGATTGCTTGCAACTTTTCTGCCTTAGTGATTTGGGGGAAAAAAGAACAGCATCTTTACGTTTCTTTAAAGTACATAGAGATAAAGCTAGCGATTAGGTAACTTAGAATAACATAATAATGTGGAAGCTTGGGTATACCCACCTAATATTTTTCATCTTCTACCTCTGCCATTTTTCCTGCAATTCCACTTCCTATTTAGATAGCTCAGAGAGAACAATTTTAATAAAAACATTCCTCTCCTTTAAAAAAAAAAAAAAGCTCCCCATTTTTCCTATTCTGCTTTTCCTTTTAGATTAAAGAGGACAGGGTGTAGACATGAGTGATGGTTTCCTGCCTGTCATTCCTTACCTAGAAGCATTTATTTAAGAGTTTCTGTTACTTTTTGTTCAGATGAGGATTTTGCTAAAGTTTCTGGGAAACTAATAATCTAATTATTAGAAAAACATTTCAAAGTAGAAAGTAGATAAATGATAAACTCATATTCTTTGTTATTATTTAGTCTAAAAATAAAGATTCCCAGCGGATATATTAGCAATATTAGCAGGGCTTCTTTTTCTAAGTGACCACAGATCTGACCTTTTCTAGGCTTTAGGTTGTAAATTATCCTATAAATACTTTGATTATTTTTAATGACTTTTGATTTTGGGGAACAGGCTTCACATAAGCCTTTATTCCTTCAAAAATCTTGGCAAAATATTTGCTTTTTCTCTATTTCTGGTGTGAGTTGCAGCATTTCAGCTGCTTAAGTGGGGACAGAGATAACCCCTTTGCTTCCAGCTCTTGAAATCCCTTATCACCTTCTTGGCAAAACCAGAATAAAAGAGTAAGGTAGATTTTATGCGTGCTTTTTTTTGGTCTTGCACAGACTTGCACCAAAGTCAAGTCAAGAACATATGTTTAGACGAACTTTATGGAAGATCTTATGCTCTTGAATTTATTTTAGTTCTTATAATTTTACACCTATACAAATATACCTCTTACTGTATTCTTTCATCAACCTTTAATGGTAATGAGTTGCCTTTCTGTGAGCATTTAGGAGTGCTCAAACACCAAAATAAAACTTTTTTAAAGACTACACATAGCATGCTTCCAAATTCTACAATAGAGAGCCCGAGATGTTTCACCTTCTAGAACATGCTTCTTTATAGGTGCAAAGTTATAGGATATGCAGAAGAAAGCATTCATCAGAATCTTCCGGAGAATATGGTCAGTAATCTTATGCAGGCCCAGAGCCACACTGTTTGTCCACATAGTCACACACCACACGGCCAAACTCTGACAAAGGCTTTTCCTTATATAATAACCCAGAGCCTGGGTGAGGGTTGATGTATAATGTCCTATGATTTAATATAATATGTAGTTTGGGGAAAGGACCAGAGAAATGTTCTAGTTCCACATATAAGAAGGTAGTTGCCCATTTGCAAATTCCAGTTATGTGTGTAAAACAGAAATGGAAAGTACTAAACCTGTTAGGAAGTGAAAACAAACAAAAAAGTGGATTTACCTTAAATTACTGTGTACTTGAGGTTGGCTTCGGATATGGATTTTCTAAAACGTGATGTTTTATTGTTTATCATTTAATGGCTGTAAACTGTAGTAATAGAATAATAAAAAAAAGTGGAAAATCAGCTTTTCTTCTGCCTGGTTCACCTTCATCTTGCTTTTCTTTAGAATTTGTTTCCTCACCATCTTTTTTTTTCCCCTCCCATAATTTCTTCCCCTTTGTCCTACAAACATTTTCTGTCTGTCTCTCCCTATCTTCTTCCTTGGGTTGTTTTATTTTTGTTATGAACTCGGTCTTCCTCCCCACCATGGCTTTTGTTTTTTATCACAAGTTCATATGGCTCACATCCAGATTGCGCCAGGCTGAGCGAGGCCGCCAGTCTGCCGAGTTGGACAACCGGCTCTTCAAGCAGGACTTTGGAGACAAGATCAACAGTCTGCAGCTGCAAGTGGAGGAGCTCACCAGGCAGCGGTGAAGAGAGGGCAGCTTGAGCTGACAGGGTGGTGGTCATGGGTAATGCTAAAGGCTAGACAAAGAAAAGGAGAGTCTCATGACTTCCAGCCATCTCCGATCACTCTCCGTAATGTCCTTTTTCTGGAATTAGGGTTCAGAAAGCTTCACATATAACAACATTCCCAATATCCAATCAATTAATAGTTTATTGAACTTACGCTGTGTGCCAGATACTTTACTAAGCACTTCACATATATTCTCTGCTAGTGTCTTCATATCAACTCTATTAGTAGGTGATATTATTTACCCACTTTCCGATGAAACGAAAGCTTAGAGGGGTTAAATTTCTCTGTATTCACACAGTTAAGCTAATGAGTGGGAACACTGTTATTTGAAAGCCTGCCTCTCTGGCTCCAAGCCCTTAACCACTCTTCTATATTACCTCTTAAATGAGACTCACTTCCATGCTGAAGCAGCTGACTTCAAACAAATAGAACTCTGTATTGAATACAAAGCACACAGCTATGAAGGACATTAGTGGATGAAGTTGTAACTGGGAATTGAATACATAACTGTAAAGAGAGACCAGCTAATTTATATGAAATGGGGCTGTAGTGTCGGTACTTCAATATTCTATCTTGCTGAGAATTTGTAAATACTGCCTTTCAGTTATAGTAAATCCTCGTATTTGTCATTCATTTGACCACAACTCTTAAGAGTTAATATTAAAATACTGATATTCCGAGTGGTGACTCTTGGGCACTATGAGATCCTAAAGTGCATTCTTAATCATTCAAGAAAGTTTAAGCATATTTTATGTCTTTCAGTGTTAAGCTATTGGTTTTATTATATTGTTACTTTAATACTTTAAATTTTGGTTTTCCTTGTATATCTGCTAACTTTTTGTCAGTCAAGTATTAAAATTTACTTACTGAACTTTAAGAAAAGGACTGGCATTCTTTAGAGAGTATGAATACGGAAATCCAAATTTTCATCCAGTTCCTCTCCCACCTACCCCAGGAACCAGCTTGAGTTAGAACTGAAACAGGAGAGAGAGAGAAGGTTACAGAACAACAGGAACGTCCCAGCAAAGGGTTCACAGAAGACCGAACCCAAAACGGTAATACTTATTCCTTTTTTCATTTACTTAATTTTAATTTTTAGAAAGGGCCTTGATAGGCCCCACAGTTTTCTTTCATGGATTATGTACTTACTTGCTGTGGTCTTGAGTATGTAATGGCTGGCTAGAGATGGCAAGAACACAGGAAAGCTTGATTTTGAGACTACCTCTAGGAATCTCTGTAATTTGATTCTGTTTGGAAATGGGAATTTTAATAACCATGATTTTTGTGGCCCTTTTATCCCTTTTGATTTAAGTAAGATTATTTTGGTATCTTAACGAAAATTTTTCAGACCTTGCTGACTAAAATATTTTAATAATATGATATAGTAATCCCTCCCAACCCTCAGTTCCTCCTTAACAGAATTTTCTTAAATGTAGATTTGCTTCTGTATACACCTTTTTCAAAATCATGAAAATTTCAGTTTGAATATACTCAGGTATAACAATAACTAGAAAAAGAAGGAACTAGGCTTGAGGAAGGGAAAAGTAATGTAGTTGGTTGAAAGTACAGGAATAGAGATTTCTACAGAACAATCTTGGGAAAGAGACCTCCAGTAACTATAATAATGAGGGAGCTAAGATTGTGTAAGATTGTCTCTGGAACTCAGGAAACAAGAGTCAACCTCTTCAAGTAGTAGAATCAGAAAATCCAGAAATTCTTTTTCTGTCAAAGACCAAACATGGGGGGAAAATTGCCTCCTTCATGTGCATGTTATATATAGCAAAGAAGGACAAATTTATAAGCTCATTAAAATTCCAGAACAGCGAGCTGCTAATTTTCTGGAGAGTAGGAAAGAATGATAAATGGAATGTTAGTATATAGTATCCATTACTAATAATTTGGAGCCCTGGTGGCACAATAGTTAAGTGCTCAGCTGTGAACGAAAAGGTCGGTAGTTTGAACTCATCCAGTGACTCCATGGGCGAAAATACCTGGTGATCTGCTCCCATAAAGATTACAGCGTAGGAGACCTTATGGGGCAGTTCTACTCTGTCATAGGGGGTCGCTATGAGTCGGAATCGACTGGACAGCACACGAAAACAACTAATAATTTAAAGTGTGCAAAGTCTCACTCTCTAGGTGTCTTTATTGTTTTTGTGAACATAAAAAGCCCTTATAAGGGCTTTTGGAAGTTTACTTTAAATCTTGGCCTATCTTATCCCATTTTTCCCAGGAGGCCTTAAGTTTCTCAGTCTTGAATTGCCCTGCAGTGGAAGTTTCCAAGAGGATAATATCCTTAAGACTAGAGGGTAAATATTGCATTGACCTCCCTTCCTTGACCCTCGAGTGGTCTGAGAACACACATTCCACTTCCGGAGGCAGCTGGGCAGCAGCAGTTCAAGGCAGACAGCAGTGCTCTGCGCCACAGAAAGAATTTATCCCTCAAGACTGCTCAGGCAGGACATAGAGCATTGGTACAAATGCAGTTTGGAACTTTACATTGGTCCTTCAGAGTAGAAAACTCCCTTGAGTTGTACAGGCTGTAGAAGTTGTCATGACATTGAGGCATCTACTTGATTGCATGTCCAAAGGATTACACAGTCTGCTGGATGTGTCTTTGGCCATGCTCACTTTGACCAGTTTTTCAGAGCTCAACCGGGGGGAAAATTATTTCTCCTAAGAAATAACTGGTATTTTGAGCCTGCTTTGCAAGTAAATAGGATACGTTCTAAATTTTAATCTCGGGAATTAAAATCTCTACTCTGAAAATTAAAATCTGTTAGAATAGTTTGTTAAGAAAACACTTGGAGCAGAATGAGGAAACGTCCTTTAAAGTTAGATCTCTTCCCTTAAAAAAAAAAAAAAAGCTACTTAGCTTTATACCCAAACTAAGACCATGCAGAAAATGTCTGCAACATCATCGTTATAGCATTCTGAATAATTAATAAAATGGGCTGTTTTCTTTTGGCAGGATGGGAAGCACAAAATTCAAGAGGAAAATGTTAACCTAAAAAAGCCCTTGGAAGAAAGCCACAGGTGTTTGCTAATTAAGTACTGACTAAGATATGAAGTTATTTTGGGGTGGTGGGAAAGAGGGAGTTTTTGATGTTGACCGGCCTTTACACAGACCAAGTGCTGGCTTTGGTAATATTAATATGCCAGAAAGACATTTTGAAGGGGAAGTGAATAAATAACAAAGTAGATAACACATTAAACCAAACTCATTGGTCCATTTCACAAGGTAATAAATCTGACCTTTGATTCTTCCCTGATTAATCCCCAAACTCAAATTATCACTTAAAAGATGATTAATAATCTTTACTGGATTGGAATCCCCAAAGAATGAAGCACAAATCATAGCATTTCTTAGGCTCTTAAATGTAGAGTCTGGCTAGTTTCCACATTTGTGCTGAGTGAAGAGCAGCTACGTTTCAAATAAATCGTCTCATTTCCCATATCTCTTTTCTCTTAAGGGAAAATACAGCTTAACTTGATTCCTTTTTCTTAACTCTTCATCGGATTTGCTCACTGTGAAAAGCACAGGATCTGTTGTGAGGAAGTTTACTTTTGACAGCTATTTTAGCAGGTAGAAATGTAGCAAATATTGCATAGCGCTGCTAAGTTAAAAAATAAAGGAGGTTAATAATGAGGAAAGATGCTGTGGAGAGGTTTTGAGAAAAGTGTTCAGTACCCATTTGGCACCTGTCCCTGCCCAGGCTTTGATGCTTTAAGAATGACGTAGTGTGTCAACTAGAGCAAAAGTAGCTGCTGGAGAAGAGAAATCACACAATCCAACATGTAGGCTGATTATGCAGCTATTTAGCTTAAACACCCCTTCCTTGCCTCCAGGGCCAGAATGATTCCATTTTTACTCTGAGAGGGTAGTCTGATCCAGGGCTGACCTTGAGCAGCAGCCCATCTAACACTACACATTTGCACTGGCACATGGAAGGGCACTAAAAAGGCTGTGAAATTAACCTGAGCTTCCAGGTGCTTTCAGGGTCAGCCTAGTTCCAGATCCAAATCAAGTCATTTACAATCAGGAGTGTCTGTTAAATACCAGGATCTGATTTAGACCCTGGGAATATAAGATGATATTACCTTAAATCTGTATTGTGCTTTACAGCATTAAAAGTGTTTCACAATCATTATCTCCTTACAAATTTAATTCTCCTTACAAAAGCATAATCTTCTATCCCTACTTTACAGATGAGAAAGCCGAGGAGCACAGAGAGGCCAGGTGACATACTCAAAGTGCCTCAGCTTACCATGTGTTCTGATTTTCAGCCCTTTATTATGTCTCTGCACTATAGAATAGCTGCTTCCAGGACCTATCCTGGCTAGAACTGCAATCCTAAAACATAGGTTTCCTGGGATTGTGGTCCAAGGAACATCTGAAAACCTGGTCATACCATGGGTGCCACTCACCCAAAGAGAACAGAACCACTGTAGATCTGTGGTGCATTTTCCCCAGAACTGAGAATGGGCTCGACTTCTTTCGTTTAGGTCTATTCCAAGTTTGGAAAATCAGGGTTAGCTCAGCTTAACCTGATTGGGTTCTCACGTGGTAATCTCATTCATTTCCCATTTCCTGGTTAATTTGCTTAAGTTCACATTTTAAGAATATTTGGGAGAGGGGAATAGCATGTGACATATGGTAAAGAATAGATTTCCATAATTTCAGATAGAAAAAATGCTATTAAAGATACTGGCCATTGAAGTTTTACATTGTAGAGAAACATAAATGTTAACTGTTTTCTTGGTAGCAGAAAGAAGTAAAATATAATTCCGAATCTATTAGTAAACAGGAACCATAATAAGGTAGGCCAAGGGTCAGATTCTAGTAATAGATTTAACAGCAAAAAAAAAAGAAATTTTTCCATGGAGTCATGATTAGTAAGTATGTTGCTCCCAGCAACATTAAAAGAACTGTAGTACTGCTTTTTTGGCAAAATACTTGTTTTCTGAGCTACTTTTAATTAAGATGATATAAATGGAAATATAGTAACTGGCTGTTTGTTCTGTTTTTATTTCTCCATTTTAGGCTGCAGTCCCACCCCATGGATCAACAGGTAACTGAGCCTACTGTTCTAAAGCATCTTGTATAAATTATGAACTTGGCTGGATCATGCCTAGCCAGTAAAGAAGGTAGCATGGGAGGTGAATGAATGAATGATTCCAGGCCTTTGCTTACCGTCCTTTTACAATGTCCTAAGGAGCCTGAAGCTCTCACGGGGGTAGCACAGCTTCGAACAATTGTTAAGTCAACAGCCATTATCACTTCTCATTTTAAAGTATCTGATATACTGCGGGACCTGGCAGAGCTCAGTTTACCTCCCTTTGCCTTGGTTTCCCCATACATAAAATGGAGAGGGAAAAAAACCCTTCTTGATTACTTAGAAATAAGTAAAATTAAATAGTAGTGAAACATTTTGCAAATAGAATAGTGTATGATAACCCCATGAGAAAGATGATAAATGCTACTATGCCAGAGTCACCCTGTAATTTAGTTGTTAGGATGTAAAATGAAGCCTTAGTGCTTTCCGTTCTCCATAGAAGAGGGAAACAGAATGGATGGGGCAGTTTTACCTTTTATTATTTTTTAAACTTTCCATTTTATATTTCTGTATGCTTTAATTTTCTTTTTATAAATAAAATCACATTTTACTTTGTTATAAAAATTAAAAAGAACTGGAACAATAATGATAGAATTACCAGAGTTGTATTAAGGTGGTGGGACTATATGTAATTTGTTTCTTCAGTTTCCAGATAGTCTGTAGCATGGTTATATTAATTTTGTAACTTAAATGCATATTCTGAAAAATATTAATGTTTCTGGGGCTAAGGGTAACTAACTGCCCGCCTGTGTGGTTTAGGATCAACCTCTGCTCTCTGAAAAGCCACAGGTGTGTCAGCTATGCCAGGAAGATGATGGCAGCGTAAAAAAGGTAACTGTGAGAAATGAGCAGGTTCTTCATAGTGATGTCCATTGTTACCCCTAACCCCTTATCAGGAATAATAGGCTTTGCCAGTGTACCTCATGACTCCTCACAGTGCAGAAAGTAGGGAGAAAAGCAAAGGGAGCAATCATTTATTGATTAGCTGTTCTTTTTCAGTCATAATAGTCTTATCAGTAAAGCACCATAAAATACATACATGATTTGAAACAAACAAGCAAATAGAAATGTATAAATAGCTAAAAATATTTATTGAGTGCCTTATGTGGCATGTGCTCTTCCATGTGCTGGAGAAGGAGTAATGAACAAAATAGACCAAGTCCCTGTTCCTGGGACGCTTATGACCTTTGTGGCATCATTTTATAACTGAAGAACGATGGGCTCAGGGAAGTTAAGTACATTTCCCAAAGTTACACAAGTAGTAAGTGGTAAAGCCTGCACTCCAACCAGACTTTGGCTGCAAAGTCTGTGCTCCTTCCAGGACTCCATCTTGCGTAGAACAGAAAAGATAGGTTTGGGGAAGGAGGTTCTTTTAGTTATTTGGGGAGACTGACTCTGAAAGGGAAGTGAGCTCCCCCCACTGGACCACTTGTTTTCCCCACGAATCCTCACGAGCACCTTACTGTGTGTTATACTGGAGTAAGAAGAGTAGGAAGCATTCAGAAAGAATGACTTCCTTTGATTGCCACAACTGTGTCTTGCTCACAATAGTCTTCCCCATATCTGGTACGGTGCCCAGTAGATAGCAGATGCTTAATGAACCAATGAGTGTAAGAAAGAAGTACTTAGAAGAAAAACAGGAAACATACCCAAATTCAGGATTATAACCACTGCCACCATCTGTGATCACGCTGAATATTAACAAGCAAAACTATAAGATGACCTAGTCTTACATTAGCAGAATTAGATAACAGATGAACTGCCTTTATAGAAATATGTTCTAAAATAGAAGAAACCACTAATCTAATTCTGGCTTTTCTTTTCAGAGCCATGCAAACTAACTTCAGTATGTCAAGGGAAGATTCCTCCTAGGCCTTCAAATAAAAGTGACCCCTTACTTTCATCACATCCTCAGGAACTGTTTAGGATGAATTCTTTGGGATCAAATTTCACAGGGGAAATTACTCCTTGGGGCCTTTTATGTAGGGACCCTTGGAACTGTGTCTTGTCAGTGACACTGTCATGGTGACCCACACGTTCTCCTAGCTCTTGGCCACTAAAGATTCAAAGCCAGTTTCCAAGAAGCTGTGCTCTTCCTGCACTGATATTCCAAAGGACATGCTTATAGAGCATCACAGGAAAACATTAAGCACATTAGGAACCGTACTCAGCAAATTCTTTAATCCTAGGCTGTCCACTCAGTCCACTGCTACGTCACTGCCTGCCTTATTTAGAGTATGCTTCCAAAAAAACCAAAGCCATTGCCATCGAGTCAATTCCGACTTGTAACTACCCTATAGGACAGAGTAGAACTGCCCCATAGGATTTCCAAGGCTATAAATCTCTGTGGAAGCAGACTGTCCCATCTTTCTCCCACAGAGTGGCTTGTGGGTTCCAACTGCTGACCTTTCCGTTAGCAGCCAAGTGCTTTAACCACTGCGCCACCAGGGTTCCAGAGTATGCTTAGATACTTTCAAACTAATTTTAATGTTGTTGTTGATAGCTGCCATTGAGTCTGCTCCCAACTCATGGTAACACCATGCACAACGAGATAGGGCCATTGTGATCCATAGGGATTTTTTTCCACTGGCTCATTTTTGGAAGTAGATCACAAGGCCTTTCTTTCTAGTCTGTCTTAGTCTGGAAGCTCCACTGAAACCTGTTCAGCATCATAGCAACACACAAGACTGACAGTGGTGGCTGCACTTGAGGTGCACTGGCCAGGAATCAAACCTGGGTCTCCCTCATGGAAGGCAAGAATTCTACCACTAAATTGCACTGCCCTCAATTTTAGAATTAGTTCCAAATTAGAAGTGAATATAGTGAGAGAACAGAATATGAAATGTATTCCAAAGGCAAATAATTTGTGTAATATTTGTTCTTTTGAATTCTGTTAACACTGCTGCTTCTCTTCATTTAGATCTCAGAACTAGATTGTAATTCTTTGTACACAGGACTGTGTTTGGTCAGATACTATCTGACACATAGTAAGACACTGAATGAATACTTGATTAGATTTTGAGCATTTACCTATTTGCCCTTTTATGTTCCCGGCAACCTTATTCCTGCCTCCTCTTCTGTTCCCCACCCACCTTCCTCTTCTCCTTGTAGAATGTGTGTGAGAATTGCAAAGGAACCTTCTGCAATGCCTGTTCAACAAATGAACTGCCTCTTCCCTCAAGTATCAAGCCTGAGCGAGTTTGCAATCCCTGCCACAAGCATCTGATGAAGCAATATTCCACCAGCCCATCATAAGACAGGAGGCCAAGGCCTGGACCAGAACTTTCATGCAGGGCCAGTCTCTACCTGTGCTAGATGTCACGATCCCCTAGAGCCCAGTCCTTAGAATCAACTAAAGGGTTCATAGAGAGGAATTATTTACAGACCCCAGGTCCAGGGAGAAAAGGCAGTGGTTGGGGATGCTGGAGATTTTGCTCGTTTTTCCTAATTACTGTAAGAATAAAAGTTAGTCTTCTAAATCTAAATAACCCCACTTTGAAGGATTTACTATATAGCATATTTTTGAAAGGGCTGTTCATTTTTATGAATAGTGATAATATGGGGGTAGACATAATAGAAGAGAGTGGTCCAAGCAGTTGAGAATAAAAAGGAAACTGAATCATCTCCCTCTTACATTTGCATATTCAGAGGGGAAAGATAAATGCTGAGATCAAAATGACAGATACTACAGATTTTCCCAGGTGCTGCTAGACATAAACATTATTTCCTCTTCACCCCCCACTAACTACCTCTTCATCTCTACCAAACTGTGAACCCAAACTCAGGGGGAAAAAAAAAGATAAAAGTAATATAAATTCTGAGTGTACTTGAAACGATATTGTAATATAATTTCAGGGCCAGGTTTCTGGTATTGGCCTACAAATGTTTTCATTATCAAAACAAAAAGGCATTTGCAATTCTTCTACTTAATGACTTCAAAAGTGTAAGTATCTGCCCTTTTCAGAATCTCCTACCACAAAGCAAGCCATCTCTCCTCCCAAAGTCATAAAGGAAATTTTAAGGGGTTTTCAAGATAGGGTTTGACTTGCAGATAGGGAGTATTGATGAGGACAAAGCTAGTTCACGTATAGAGTAAAACAAATTTAATTTGTCCATGCTGAGAACAATTAGCTCAGAAATATTTGTTTTAATATAAGGAATCTCTTACGTTCTGAGTGAAAAATTAGAGTTGGTAGACAGGTTTCTTGGAAAGGGCCATACTCAAACATCTCTTAGTAAGAAACCCTTTGGGGGAAAGAGGGGAAGTGCAAGGGAAGGAAAGAAACGGACTGTACTATTTTGATTATGTAGCATGTGTCTAGACCGATACCAATTAAGACCGAAGAGATACAAATCTGCAACTGGCTTAGAATTCTGGGGTGGAAACATCCTGGAACTGAGGTTGTTTGATAAATCCTGTCTCCTGGGAAGGGTTACAGCCTGGGAAAGAGTTGTTATTCCAAAAGTCTGGCCTGTTACTTGGTGAAGCTGAGGCTTAAGAGTCCTAGGAACAAATAAAATTTTGTAATTGTAGCTTTGTCGTCTTTTTTCCCCTTTAAATATTTTTTTGCGCTTCTTTATTCTCATTTTTTGGCCAACTGCATGTACCTGTACTATTCTAGGTATTAAAGATAACAGCAACAAAAATGGACAAAATGGGAATTATCCTAACGTACCAAAAATTATTGTATAATTAATTTTGATTTAAACTAAAAAGAGGCAGCTCTGTAACATGGAATGTAAGGAAGAATAATAGTCACTTGAGATTTTATTGGAGCCCTAGCGGTGCAATAGTTAAGAGCTATTGCTGCCAACCAAAAGGTCAGCTGTTCGAAGACACCAGCCATTCCTTGGAAACCCTATAGGGCAGTTCTGCTCTGTCCTATAGGGTAGCTATGTATTGGAATCAACTTGATGACAACACGTTTGGGTTTTTTTGAGATTTTATTTAGATTTGCACACAAAGCCCCAAAGATCTATCATTATTAGTGCAGCTGCCCACAAAAGCAAAGGACCAAGTCATGAATACCTTAGCTTAATGATACAGCTGCTTTAAAACTGCTTTCCAGGTGGATACAGAAATAATTACAGATATGTATTGGAAACATGGGTTAGTACACATACATATAACTGTCCACTGAGAGAAGGTAAAAGCAGTGACATTGCCTTACCAACACCCAGGTCTTTATTTCTACTATCATTCTCCAATAAAAGGAAGCAAGGCTCCTTGGCAAAATGGCTGATTCTCAGTTTGGGGCACATTGTAGTGACAGAAGGAAGTGATCTAAAAACAAAAGGATAGGGGTATGTCAAAGGGACACAGCAGACAACTGAAAGAGCGCCCAATGGCCAAAGCTAGAACAATCCGAGCCACAAAATAACGTAGTGCAAGATTATAACCCGAAGTGTAAATGTCCAGGAGTCCATATTGATACGTTTGAATAAACGAGGAAGAAGTGCCATCTTTCATGCAGAATTCCCAATAATTTATGTAGATACTCTCCTTCAAGGAGAGCGAGCATAACTCCCCGCTTATTAAGTATGGGCTGTGTTTAGTAACTTGGTTCCGAAGAGTAGAATATGGAAAGAAAAATTTTTTTTTACAGTAGAGAAACCTGGCAAACATCTTGGCCAGGTGATGTAAACACCATCAGTGGTAGGTCATGTTGACAGCACATACCCTTGATATGTGATGAGCACGGCACTTTACACTCGTAGTCTTCCTCCCAAAGACCCATAATCATCAGAAAACCCAAGTGGAGGGATGTTCTACAGAATACCTGAACAGTACTTAAAACTGTCAAGGTTATGAAAAAGCCTGAGAAACAGGTCATCAAAAACAGCTGAGGTGGCTTAGGGAGACATGATGACTAAATGTAATGTGGGATCCTGAATCGAAAAAGAACATTAGAGGGGGGGAAGAAAAAAATTCATCTGAATAAAGGGTGGAGTTTAGTTAATAGTGTACCACTGTTCCTCAGTTGTGACAACTGTACTGCAGTAATGTAAGATGTCAACAATATAGAAACTGGGTGAGATGTTGGAACTCTTATTATTTTTACAACTTTTTTGTAAATAAACCTATTCTTAGTTTATTTAAACTATGCTTTCATTCATAAAACTATAGTTCTAACTTAACAGAACCTGGCTGAACTCCATAAATGAGTTTGAGTTCTTATTTCCAAATACAATCTGAGGATTCTTCCAGGGTAGATAAGCAGATGCTGTGCTGTGAGAAGGCCTGTGGTTCATTAGTTACAGGCAAATTACAAATACGTGACAAAACTCTTGAAGGGAATTTAACTATTCTGCAAAAGGTATGGTCTGTTAATTTCAAAGTTGTTTTCAGGGCCATTGTCCATTACAGCCTCATTTCACCTTTGTTCAAGAGTAGATGTAGGCCTTTTTAAAATTATTATATTTCAGCAGTATGTAGCTCTGTTTTGATTTATAGTCTACTATTTCTTTCAATTAACTTCACCCAATATATCCACAAATGTTCTCTCCCAGGTCAAATTTTAATCATTTTTAGACTTTTGCTGGCTTGAGAATTATAAATTATTGAGGTCTTCTATTTTATTATCAACATTCCTGAGGACAGTTGATTTTGTTGTAACTGTTATTTTTGTATAAAAATTTTGCAAGCATGTCAATCTATCAAATCAGAAACCAAGTACTGACAATACAAACTTCAAAGAATGTGTTAGCTTGAAATACAGTTTACAAATAGAACCAGTAGCTAGTTGTCAGCATTTGCTGAGGATATCAAATTCCTAAGAGTTAATTACCAGTTGCCCTGGAGTCAATTCCGACTCATGGTGACCCCGTGTGTGTTATCACTATAATATCATTTGTATTCCCCCATTTGCTTTCTTGAGGGGGCAGGAAATGGATGGAATTATAGCCAGCCTATCAGAAATTGTGAGTAACTCAGTACAGCTGTTGGGTCTTTATTCCCAAATGTCATTGTCAAGTGGCGGGGAGAAAGATTCAGAGCCTCTTCTCTACTTCAGTTAGAACCAGGTATGTTTTGGGGATGACAAGTCTTCGAATATGCATATGAAGTTTCACCTGTGAACTTCAAATTTAGTCTATGGATCATCTGAAAAGCTTATTTATTCTTATATGTATCTTGCTGATTGGAAAATTCAGGTAGTAGTAGCAGTAACAGTATTAGCATTTTCTGAACCTATCTAACTTCACAGGGTATAATGTGAAATCAAGACCATCCCAAGGCTGATCCCTATGAGGTGGAGGTCAGACACACCTCCACCTTCTAACCTTTTTACCAATTCTCACACCAACCGTCCCTCTGACAGTGCTACTTCTTTTCTGGGTTCCATAATCCATTGCAATGGCCACACAGCACTCACATACCATACCTGCGGTTAAGTGGTTTATTAACGAAGTTAACAAGGTACAACTCAGGATTAGGATCAACAGGCTACAAAACTCAGGATCAGGAAGCATGTAGGCAAAGTCGCCCTTCTTCAGTGCAAGACAGCTTTTCTCAGCTCCCGTCTGCTGTGCAGGCCTCTTGGCCCCGAGGACAGGCTCCTCTTGGCCCTGCCATCTGTTGCTGCCAGCTCTGCCGCTAGGCCCCTTCCAGGCCTGTTGCCAACTTTAGTGTTACAGTCATTGACCCATGTTACAGCTCACTGAGGAGGTTCCTTGCCTCCTCTCTACTTCTTCCTGTTGCTTCTCTCAGAAAAACCTCTACATGGTAGGCTGCTTATATACACAACTTGTCAAGTTCAAGGCACAGCCCCTCCCAGTGAGAGCCACAAATTTACCAATACCCTCTCAACAGGCCACAGACAACTTCATTTGCATAGTAGGCTACAACTCACCTCATTTGTACAGTCTACTGACCAATCCCTGCAAGATGCATACCAATCACAGGGCAGGCCGCAGCCCAGGACCAGACAAAAAATATCAAACCAAGCTGTTTACAACTTACCCAGGAAATGTCAATCAACCTGGCAAAAGTAACAAAGCTTCTAGGGTAGAAACCTAGGGCAAAGGTAACTCCTCAGGGCTTAGGAGAAAAATCTCTCAAGTTGTTTTTCCAAAGAATCGAGGCAAAAGGCCACATAAAGGAACTCATTTCACCACAGTGATCTTTGTCACTTTCACTGAGTTACTGACTGGTCCGTCCATGTTTTAGAGTCTACCTAGGCGATAACTTTCATTCTTAATAGTAGGTGCTTTCAAAATCATTTCACTGGGATGTCCTAATTCTGACACAAACCCCAGAAGCCATAAAAGGAGACTTACAATTCAGCCGCATAAAAATAATTTCTGCCATAATAAGCCAAGAGACAGATGACAAACTGAAGAGGGAACTACTTAAAGCTCACTGCAGGAATAAAGGGCTCCTGCAAATAAGTTAAGACCACATTCAACAGAAAAATGTGCAGTATCACAGGCAATCAAAATTCAGACTGTGAAAATCTTATTTTTCAACAAAAAGAAGGAAAAAAGAAAACAGGAGGGGAAACCTATAGAGTAAGAGAAAGACGAAACAGGCCCTTCACTAAGGAAGATATTTGAATGGCTAATAAGCATTATGGAAAAATGATTAACATCATTAATCATCAGGAAAATTTAAATTAAACCTATGAGATACTACTACACACAGGATAGCTAAAATTAAAGGCTGTCAACACCAGATATTGGTGAGGATGCAGACCTACTGGAACTCTCACATATTGTTTGTGGGAACATAAAATACAACGACCAGTGGGGGAAAAGGTACATCAATTTCTAGTAAAAATTAAAATATACCAACCCTGTAACTCAGGATATTTCATTCCTAAGTACTTGCCCAAAAGAAATTAAGATGTCCACAAAAAAGGCTTGCACAAGATGTTCATATCAGCTTTATTCATAATAGCCAGAAACTATGAACAACCCAATTGTCCATTAACAGGTGAAAGGTTAAACCCTGGCATACAGTGGACTACTACTCATCAAGGAAGAGGAACAGCTGAAACACAAGGAATCGCAAAACATGCTGAGTGAAAGAAACCTTACATAAGATTACATACTGTATGGTTTCATTGATATGAAGTTCTAGGATAGGCAAATCTAATCTATGGTGAACTAAATCAAATCCTAAGAGTGGCTGCCTGTGAGGGAAAGGCAGAGGTGACAGGGGAAGCGCAAGAACTGACTAGATGAAGAAATGTTCCGATGTGACAGAAATGTTCTACACATGGCTAGGGGTTTGCATTACACAGTTGTACACAGAAATACATCACACGGCACACTTAATGTTTCTTCACTATAAATTATACCTTGGGGGGGTGAACAAAACCTCTGGTTGATGACATCCTGAAAAGTTAAGAGTCAGTATAGATGTCTACAACTTAGAAATACATAAGCACTGTAGAATCTAAATAGTGGGTATAGGGGTGTCTGTAATTCATCTTTTCTGTATGCTTGAAATTTTTTATATTAAAATGTTGCAAGGAAAAAGCAGCAGCATAAGTAACTATTTGAAATGTGTGGGCCATTATTTGGACCCTGATTCAAATAAACTTAAAAATAATGACATTTCAGGTATTTGATAAGAAATTACTAGTATGTTCAGGAACAAAAGTATTTTTCTTTTTTTTTTTTCCTTAAGAGATGCATACTGAAATATTTACAGATAAAAATAATGCTATCTCCAGCTCTGCTTTAACCTTAATATGGGGGAAATGAGGTGGATGGGGACATAGATGAAACACGATTGTGAGCTGGTAACTGTTGATGAATATATGGGTTTGTTATACTTTTCTATTTTGTATTCTGTAATTTTAAAGAATAAATTTTTTTAAAGGAAAAGAAAACCAGAGGATATGAAGACAGTTTTCAGAAAAGGAAATCCAAAAGTTCTTAAACACAAAACAATGCTACCTGATAATACTTCTAAAAGAAAAAAAAAAGAAACCCTATCACACTGGCAAAGAATAGACTGATAATACATTATTAATGGCAAGGCTATGGGGAAATAGATGTTGCTGGGGCAAACTGTGGAAGGCTATTAACAATTTAAGATATAAATTTAATTTTAGATATAAATTACAAATGCACATACTCTGACCACTTCAGGGAATTTATCCTACAGAGAATTTTATGTACGTACAAAATGATATATGTATTAAGTTTATACAAGGTAATTCATTTCAGCATTAAAATAGCAAGACTGGGAACAACTTACATATTCATCTGTAAGGAACAGACTTAATTACATACATCCATACTATACAATCATTAAAAAAGTGTGAGGAAGGATTTTATATACTGATATGGAATGATATTTAGGATATATTAAATGGAAAAGAAACAAGGTAGAAAATAGCATGTATAGTATGCTATAAGTTATATTAAAAATGAAAATATATCTTAATATTTTCTTATATATACAATAAATATCCCAAAATTACATCAGAAACTGACAGGGATGCCTGAGAAGCAGAACTCAGTGGCTGAAGTAAAGGATGGCAGGGAGACTTTTCAAGTATAACCCTTTGAATCTCTTCAATAAATTTTATTTCCTTCAAAAAATAATACATAAACAATTTTTAAATTGTCCCACTATTCTTTATTTTTATATCATCAAGGCTTAAAAATCAGATTAAACCTTCCTTTATGCCTTCCTATAGACTTCAGAGACTATTTTGTAATTTGCTAAATTCAGGGGGAAAATATATTTCTACTACATTAGAACAACTTGATTTTTTTCAAGGACCCTGAACTAGCGCCTGCCTCTGCTTTACTTACTCTACAGTACAAGATCCACCTATTGAATGTGCATCCTTTCACATGTTTTAGGGGAAACTCTCAACACAATGGAGTGTATTTAATGATAAGATGAATCGGATGTCACCCAGAGAAAAATAAATCTCCGAACGAGAATCTGCTAAGACTCTTTAGGGCAGAAAACGCTAGTAACAGCATGTTTACTAATAAGCAGTCAACGCGTAAAACTGTCACCCACATGGAAGTAGCTTTCTTATTATTCTTCGTCCCCACACTGCAAAAGTAGTGAGGACAATTTACAGCCTTCCGCCCTAGAGCAGACTCACTCTCTTTTCCTATCTGGCTGAAGCTCTGGTCACTCAGGCATAGAGGACACTCTGGCTTCCTGTTTCTACTTCATTTTCTGATGCTGGTGAATATATTAGATCAGCTTACACTCTTTCGCCATATCCTCCTTGACATCTACATATATATCAGCATTCTCTCTTGTAATTCCTTGAGAAATAGTGAGGCCAATAGTGAGGATATGGGTACCCTGCATATATACTCCAATACTCCCCATTATTTTTGATAAGCTTTACCATAAAGAAAATTACAAAGACATAAGGGACCCAAATAGCAGAGAAAGAGTCACTGTCATTACCTCCTTCAATGGCAAATGGTGACGCACAACCCAGTTTTGTCAATTAGGGGGAGAGAAAAATTTCTGAAAATATTACTCTTTAACTGCATTATGTACTTTTCTACCTCTCTCCTCCAGTAATACTTGCCATCTCAGCAATCATTCATTTACTAAAGTATGAACAGTAACTAAAGAAAGTAAAGTATATGAATTCATAATACAACTTCCCAGGCACCAGCCACCTTTTGTACTGTGAACTCAGCCACCAGCATGGCATGAAGTCGCATCCCTTCAAGCTCACCTATCACACAGCATTTTAATGCTTTTGCACTCATTCTTTTCCCAGAGAAAATGAATTTAAAATAACTGCAAATGAATTAATTCCTCACCCACCCCACTCCCACAGGGCCCTAAAAGATTTTTCCCACAGCAAATCAGCTACCTACTTAAGGAAGAGAAATAAATCACTTTTTAATATATCATACAACTGTAGACACCAGTTCTCAAAACTCAGTACACTCAACCATGTATGAACACATTACCATCTAAGGAAGATATTAAGCTGGTTGATTAAATTGTGTTCTTACAGGTGATTAAAAAAAACACACACTGAACATTAACCATTATTAACCATTTACGTTAACATACTTGGACTTGATGTAATAAAAATATACTCAGTTGACTCACACACTCCAATAATAAATACTCTCAAGTAGTTCTTCAGCCTAAAACAAGCCTTCATTTGTTGACTACTTACAGTACAGTGATTTCATCTTAGCTGGTAATCAAAGATGGTTACATATTAAGTGAGAGAAGACAATCTCTCTTCCAGATGGCATCTCTCAGAAATCTGGGCTAATACATTTTTAAGAACTAGAATTGCATCGCCTGGTAACTACATGGCAGCTGTCACCCTGAGAACAGGAACAAGGCAAAGAAAGTATACAGGACTTTAACTCTCCTAGACAGGTGCACATAAAGTTAGTTTATTAAGGACTATATTTTGAAGCCAGCCATTTTGATCCAGCATTTAAATAACAAGCTGTTTAATATTAAAGCAGAAGATACTGCCACAATGTGACAAATAGAGCTTTACCCATAAACCCTTCACACAATTAATACATTAAATGTTATTTTTATATAAGCAAGGCACCCCTACCTGTTCTAAAATATGGGATGTGCTACCCCACTGAAGAAAGCAAATGAAGAGATTTAGATTTTTTTCCTATCTAGAGCTGGTTTAAATTTCAAGTGAAGCCATTAATGTCCTTACCAGTCTGGACTGTTCTGACATGTTACTTCAGAGTTTTGAGACAAACACATCATTAATGTTTACCAAAAATTTTTTTAAAAAAGGGGTGTGGGGAGCCTTTTCAGACAACTTTTGAGACTAGAATTTCCTCCTTAAGTAGACAGGCTCTGGTGTTAAATGCCTAGCGTAATATTTAGGAAGTCAAAACATTTCTAAAGGCATGAAACTCTGCCAAATTACTATCATTTACACTTATTAACCTGTGGCATTTCTGTTTTGATTCATTTTGTTTAATTCCTACCCTTATCTAATTAATCCTATACATTTAAAATTAAAATTACCCCCCACCACCAAGCCACACTAGTTCAAAGGTTTAAAACCTATCCTTGCTTTGGTATTTGGTTAAAATAAATCATCAGTATTTTATTCCATGAGAACCTGCAAACCAAGAGTTTTACATCAGAGCTCTCAATTCATAGGCAAAGAACAAAACTTTGAACAGATTATTTTTTAAATGGGAGAAGGGTTTTAAAAGACAGTGCTAAATAAAAATATGTAGTCTTTACACTGCATAATATCCTCTATGAAAACAAACTGATCACACAAAATAAAAGACCCGATTTTTAAATCAGATCCTAGACAGGATGTTTAAACAAACATTTAAATTTGTAGTTTATTTCATAATCCCAAACTGAATCTTTCCTTCCCCTTTCTAAACAGTCCACTATAGAAATTTTTCTTAGAAGCAATTAACCCAAAACTCCAAAATCCCTTCTCTAGCAGTTGCTGCTAATAAACTGGAACCTTGTATCCCATGTCCAATAAGATGTGCAAATGAAATGCTTCTTGCTTCATCCTGGAAAAAAAACAAAAAATGTACATTTCCTGAAAATAAAAAGATTGCACATATTCCCATGCCATCTAAAATCACAAATTCAGTATTTTTTCTCTTTCTAATTTAGTGCAGGCTATCAACAAATCAATCAAAGTTAAGGCCAGGAAAATTATAGTTACACATTAGTGTTTGTATCCTGGTACGAAGACTGTAGGTTTTCAAAGTTGAGCACAAAATACATTTTAAATAGATTTTAGCTGATATAAATATTTAACATCACGGGATTATGGGACTTTATAACTTCTCATATCCAAAAATAGCCTATGACCTGAATGCAGTAACAGAATGCCTCCATGTTTTCAATGAAGAAATCATTAGTTAAATGTCTCAAAGGAATGCATCACTACATGTAGAAAACGACTACAATACGTTAAAAGACTTTATGGGGAAAGAAAAGACACCATTTAACATTTAGTCAAAGGAAGGGACATCAAGACATATTTAGCAAATTTTTCAGTTAACACTATGAACCTATGTACCTCCTAGGACCGTTTTCTTAATACTGTTTTAGGAAAGGAAACCCTGGTGGTGTAGTGGTTAAGGGCTACAGTTGCTAACCAAAAGGTCGGCAGTTTGAATCCATCAGGCACTCCTTGGAAACTCTATGGGGCAGTTCCACTCTGTTCTACAGGGTCACTACGAGTCAGGCTCGACTTGATGGCAACGGGTTTGGTTTTGGTTTATTTTAGAAACAGAAACACCCTGATTTCAAATGTTATCATTGTAAACATTTTTAAAGTATCTCAGAACAGAAAAAATGCATTTAAACTTTAGTGGAAAAAAAAATGTGAGGCAGGTTTTCAGTGTATTATCACTTACAGCTAATAAAGGTGAAAAAATTACTAGGCACGTAACATGATTAATGCTGGGAACAATGCAAAAAGATTCTATATGGGGATACTGGTCTAAGGCACTATACAACCATATTGAATTCTATTTCCCAGGTGAGTTTTCATTCCTTATATTGATGCCTCAATTATGATTAATTTGGTCTTTTTTTTAAAAAGAGAATGGCTTCTACACTGTTACCAATTATTGAGTCAAGGATTATTAATTTATCAATTAGAAAAAATATGCACATTTACACCTCTTAAATTTACCTTATTTGGAGTCCCTGGAAGTCTTATTTTCCTTTTGGACATGAATTCAGGAACAGTTCAATATACCTATGATCTGAGGATGACAAACGAAAAACAGTTTAAAAAAGGGGCAAAGTGAGAAAAAACACTGGTGCCCTTTTTCTCATAGCTCAGACAGCAAGTCAAATCCTTTGCCCCTTCCTTTCCCTAACTAAAAAGAATAAAATAAACCTACCTAACTCTGGATAGAAATATGTAAGATAATTCACAAATAAATCAATGCTTTTCATTATAATGTAGCATTTTTCCCTCTTTACATTTAATTTAATATTATTAAGAGTACAATTTTTTCAGGGGAAACTTCTAGGCAAACCCCAAAGCAGACTAAAGTATCTGTAAGCAAAGACAGGCATCAAAAATGACAACGAAAACTGTGAGTGGCACTTACGAACATGGGACCGATCCTTGAGCATAGCTGCAACAGCATCCTCATGGGTATCGAAGTGCACGTCAGCTTCTCCAGTGGCCTTCCCACTGGAACTGTATTCCATGGTGATTCTAACAGGCTTCAGTGGAGCAAAAAACTAAATAATGAACAAAGGAAGCCAAAAAGAACACAATGGAACCAGATTCACATTCCAGAAGTCTGGTGGCTTTCCGTTTTTCTCTGACTTTGATTCATATACCTGATAAATTGGTTTTTAGGAAATCTCCTTAAGCAACCAAGTAATTACATATTTATGATCTCTTCTGGCTTTTTCAATTTTGTCCAAACTCAAGGTTACATTTCAAACATTTCTTCACAGAGAACTAAAAGCCGTAAGTATAATCACTATACAAATGGTTCTCAGACTTTTTTTAACCCAAGGACCAATTTTATTATTCCTCCCACACACATCCTTCCCTGTTTCTAAAGACTGACCATCAAACAGACTTCATTTCTTAATAATTTGTTTTTACCATTTTTAATCAGACATGTACCTCAAAATCGGTTTCTTACCAGCACTACCTGAACAGAGCTACCACACTAATTTATTATCATTCCAAACCAAAGCAACAGAATGTAATGCTTTAATGTGAATGTACCGCCTTTGCAAAAAGCCTATTAGGCTTTCTGAAATAATGAACACAGCTTTGAGGTCCCAATATTAACTGAAGACTCCAGATTGGAAACTAAACATATGCTGTGAAGTTCATAAAGTCAACTAAGGTATTAAGGACTTTGCTGCTGTTGTTTTCATTTCATACAATATTTATTATAAAATAAAAATATATTTAAAATTCCTTTTCTTAAAAATTAAGGAATCCTAATACATGGTCTAATAAAAGTTCTACACTTGGTATTTAGGAGAAATGGATTCCTGTCTAGTAATGGCTGCTCTGTGACCAACAACCTCTGAGTCTCAGTTTCCTAAATTAAAAAATGAATGGGTTGAATCAATTTATTGTAAAAGCAAGCTTCCTTACTTTGAACACTAAACCTCCACCATATAATCTGGCAACTATAAAATCCTCTCCTCTCTTAACCTTAAAATATAATAAAAATCCACATTTTTCAGCTACAGAAAATGAAACAAGCCTCTAGAACCATGCTGATAACATCTTACTATTCAGATTCTCCAGAAATACTGTATTTTCTTCTCCAATTAATTTCCCAAATTAATAGAGGCTCAATTTTAGAACTTTTGTTGAAACCTACTGAGACTGGATAATATCTTACTGCCACACACATTTATAATGTCTTGGGCATTAGCTTGGAAAGGCAATCCTCTCATATGGACAAAATGTAGTGAAGGCGTAGTTCCAAAATCAACAGCCTCTGGAAGCTTCTCTGACATGTCCTTAGGCAATTCTGAAAGGCAGAACAAAAGCACTGACAAGAACATAAGAGCTTCAAAGGTTATTAATAGGTCTTAATTAGGTATGGACTTTATGTCAAAATCCTCAATCCCTCTTGAACTAGTAGGGAAGCCAAAATGATCAGAAATTTCTGCCATCTAACAAGTACCACCTGAAAACCCAAAACCACTGACTGTCTCAAACCATCACCAAATTAAGACCGTATCTTTTCGTAACAGCACAGAGAAAGTAAAATGATTATGAATGAAATCATAAAAGAGAAACTTTCTGGGTTATAGGCACTAAAAAAGAATATGCTGACAGGTTAATCCCAGGGCACCAGTTAAAAAAGGATTTATCAAATTTTAAAGATTGCAAATGTTGTTTTGGGGTTAAGACTCAAAGGCATAATTAAATCCAGAGGCAAACAAAAAGCTTTACTTCAGTAAATATTCCTGCTCTCTACCTAAATCTTTCTCCACCTTAAAGTTTACTTCCTTTTATTATATTTCTACTATCCAGCTTTTAATAAAGAATCTACAAAAATGACTAAATTAAGAAGTCTAACAAAATAACTAAGTCCTTCTCAATATATTCAAAGAACACACTACGCTAAACAAAAAAACAAAAAAAAAAAATTGCCATCAAGTTGATTCAGACTCATCGCACCCCATGTGCAGAGTAGAACTGTGCTCCATAGGGTTTTAAAGGCTATGACCTTTCAGAAGCACATCACCAAGCCTTTCTTCCAAGGTGTCTCTGGGTGAGTTCGAACCACCAACTTTTCAGTTAGCAGTTGAGTGCTTAACCATCTGTACCACCCAGGGACTACCATACTGCACTCAAAGACACATTACATCTTTCTTTGCAACTCAATTCCCTTTTCCTATAATCTTACAAGTTCATACAAAATGGTCCTAAAAAATATCATTGTAACAAAAATCAAAACATACAAGACAGACCCAAACTTGTATGTTTGGGGCAAATTCACCAGTAAGCAAGGTATGCACGGGCTTACTTGTACTGACTTACTAATCTGCAGTGCACAATTTCATATGGGTGCACTACAGATTAGTAAGTAAGAACAGGTAAACCCATGCGTACCTTGCTTATTGGGTAATCCGTCCCTGAGAAGAGGCACATTCTTACCTATTTCCTTCTCACTTTCAAAAGTTGTCATGGGTCGAATATCCTCACTTACTTCATGCTCTTCAAAGACCATTTCTGGCTCAGTTATATACTTAGCAGTAGGAGAAGATGCCATTTTCTTTCCCTTATGAGAACCAACATGTGTTCGAACTTCATTCCTTCTGCT